GGAAGAAACTCTCACTGAGTGAACCACCATCCATTTTTAGGACGTGAGGATGTGTACACATAGTTTCCACAATGATTCATTAAAAATTAATGGTTTTAATGCATTCCAGTGTGAGTGGACTGCTATTCCTCTTTCAGGTGAAGAGTGTGTGCCTGGCTGTTTCAAAGTCCAGGTAGACTGCAAGGACCACCAGCACTGGGAGGCCTTTTTCCTTTTTTCACTTGGATTGATCCCAAATAAGTTGCAGCTTTTCAGCAAAGCTCATGTTCCTCAGAGGCAGCAGAGTTGATAAAGTAGGGATTTTAGTGGTATATTGAACAATGTAATATATAATCTAGTTTGTTGCAGTTGATATGTTCAATTCTTTAGCCATTTTAGTTAGGAAAGCCTCCCATCAAGCTCAGATTTTAGAATCTCACAGTGTTATTTTTTGCCTATCTATAGCTCAGAATACAGAGACTATGACACTCTTGGTAAGTAAGGAAGACAAGATGTTACATTCTATTTGCAGCCATTTTTTGGGTTTAGTCCTGGTTTTCTAGACTTATAAGAACTTTTCCTAATGTGATATAAAACAAGGGCATTATGTCTGGTTTTTTCAGCCTTCAAGAGTGCTCTGATCTTCTGAAAGAAATGGATCCATCTGGACCTTGTCTTGCACTTTTTGGAAGGCTGCTTCTGCTATCTTTAAATGGTGTGACCCATGACCCTAGTTATAGAGTATCACTCTTTCTTTTAAGAAATTGTTTTTATCTCAGTCACTTTGAGCTCTTCATTTCTTGTTTTTTTTCAGTGAAGGAGCACAGCTGATTGAATTGGTGTAATACATGACCTTCTGCACTTTGGGAAGTCAGTGAATTCTTCGTTGTTAAATCTTTTTTAAGAGGTATTTCCAGGGCTCGTTTGAAATCTGAATTTGGTTCTGTTAGCAGTCATCTCTGTGTGACAGCCTCATTTACTTCACATGCTAATCCATCAGATAACATGGCAGATAACATTTGCTGCCCCTGAATTCACAGCATTCTTTTATTAGTTTTACATTGCAACAAATGCAAAGATAGATTCACCTATGGCTGAACTTTGCCATTTGCATTTCAGCCTCCATACAACTACCAATATTTTGGGGTGACAGAGCTGTTTTGTTTTATTTCTTTAAAGAGGTCTATAATCTCTGGAAGTAATTATCATTTAGTCATTCAGGAACAATTTGGTTAAATGTTCTCAAACACTGAAAACCGTCTTCTGTTTTTGTGCCATGCATAATGTGACTTGCATGAAAACAACATCTGCATACTTTTTGAGGAGTTTCTCAAAGTCTACACATCATTCTTCCTGCGCTGTGTTGAAAGCAACATTAAGTGATGCTGTCATGAGAATAGCACATTTGGTGTCTGGTGTTCTTCAACACCTTGTTAAAGCACTAATTATGATTCTCATCACTGATGAGATATGAAAGTATTTCATAAAGAAATCTAATACCAAAATTGATGAGACATTTCCTATTGCTCTTTTTTCTGTTGATGGAGGGGGGTGGGGTGAATACCTGTGGGTTGTTTGGGGTGATTTGGATTCTTTGAAGGTTTTGGATTTGCATTTTTTTTGTTTTGTTCGTTTTTGTTTTGTTCGTTTTTTTGTGTGTGGGAGTGAATAATCTACTTTCTTTCAGGCTGATGTAACCCTTTTTCAGTTTTTTCCCTTTACTTTTCTCTGAAGTCATGCAATTAAGTATTTTTTCTATAACACAGAATTGGCTCAAGTGAGCTTTGAGGATTGGTTCCCTGGTTTTTGAGCACCCCTGTGATGTCTCGCAAATTGAAATAGGTGATATTTGGTGGAAGATGTGCTTCATCATAAGAGATCAACCCATCTATTAGGTCAGAGGAAAATGTGAGTGTCACAGACATCTTTTATGGAAAATCCTTTCCTTAGGATTTTTCCTCCTGAGAAGCTGGGAGGCCTCAGGAACAAAATGCAAACATTGATTATCTGCTGCTGTGGAATGCAACAGGTGCATCTGTGATTGGCCCATGTTGGATGTTTGTAATTAATGGCCAATCACAGCCCAGCTGGCTCGGACAGAGAGCCGAGCCACAAACCTTTGTTATCATTCTTTGCTATTCTATTCTTAGCTAGCCTTCTGATGAAATCTTTTCTTCTATTCTTTTAGTATAGTTTTAATGTAATATATATCATAAAATAATAAATCAAGCTTTCTGAAACATGGAGTCAGATCCTCATCTCTTCCCTCATCCAAGAAACCCTGTGAACACCGTCCCATGTGAGATGCTTAAATTCTGAAAGTGTATTCCAAAGGATCATGTAAATATTTTCCTGCTTCAAAAATAGGAAAGGCAAACTGTCTGTTGTTATGAATTAAGCCATTAATTGGCCTTGGACAAAAGTCAAACCTCTTTAATCCCAACTGAGTGTCCTACTGACTATTCCACTTTCTCATTTTGTAGCATCAGGCAGGAGGCATACTGTGGATTCCCCTTTGGAATACAAATTAGCTAAACAAGCCATCATAAATTTTAGAAAAACATATCCTTCATTGTTCTAAGAGCTCAACTTGTGGGACACACATGTCAATGGAAAACAGGGACAGAGAAGTGATTAATATTGAAAAGTATCTGGCTGCTGATACTTGAGACTTCCAAATGCCTCTTAGCAATGCAGAAGCTGGAAACTATTTTGAAAGTACTATTTCTATAACAAAACTACTTTAAATTTATTGCTTATTTTTTTGCCAACATAATGCATGGTTCCAAAGGAAATAATTTAATGATGTGTCTGTAGAACTTTTCCTTTTTCAAAATATTAAAATACCATGGTTGCACACAGCAATGAAAAGCAATCTTTACTGTCATTATTGTCATTCTGCCAGACCTAGTGAATATTTGGCACAAGTGGTGCTTGCCTTGTAGCTGTTTGTTTAGTACTAGGAAGAGTTTTGGAATTACTCATGGCATTTGAGAGGTCAATAAAACTAATTCTCAGGGAGATGCTCACAGTTGTGTCTTTACCAGTTCCATGCCATCTTTTGTTGTCAGAGTTGTTCATATTATAGAAATTTGTTTTATTGCGTGTATGGATCTGTGTGGACATGGCATCATGCTGATAGCTGTGGCAGAGGTTATTTATCTGCAAAAATACTGGATGATTGTAAACACTCTGTTAGGTGCTCTTCATTTTTTATCACCTAAAAATTAGCATTATATGAAGGCTTAAGCATCAGGTAATGCTACAGACTCTAACACTGTGCAGAAAGAAATATGTACTGTATATCATATTTTTGCATGGACTGTGTTCTTCTTGAAATATACAAATTGTAAAGCAAACAAGGAAAGGAGTAACACAGGGAGTGGAACATCAGAATTCCCATGAGTAGAGCAGGAGCAGAGAGCAGGAGGCTTTATGAAAAACACAGTCACACAGTAGCTTTTGAGATGTGAGGAAATATTTGATATTGGATAGATACTAGACTTGTGATACTGGACAGAAGCAAATAAATAAATAACACAGACCTACAGGGCATGTGTACTGACAACCATAAAAAATTCTCTACAGAAATGAAAATTTGTTTAAATCAGATTGCTGACATGTCAGTAGTGAGGTTCTGCATGTCTTCATCCCAGGCCTAATGCCCTTCAAAATCTCCATAAATCACTTGGTCACGAGACTGGAAGGGATACTTTAAAAAGCACTTGGCAAATAATACAAAACTGGAGAAGCCTTTTATTTTTGTGGAAACTAAAATGTAAATTCTATTATTACTAGTGTGATTACAATGGCATTTTAGAGCTTAGAAATGTGAACATCCTCCTTGTATTTACAGCCATTATTGGAGAATTGAAGAATTAAATTCAAATATAATCTGAGCATTTTGCTCTGTTGGCAAAAAAGTCTCATGCCATACCATTTTCATACTCTATACATTTAATGTATATTGTGGTTTAGGAATGCTAATTCTTCAATTTAGTGCTCCCACTGAAAGAACTACAAGCCTTGCTCCACTCAGTCATTTCCCCCAGGGTGGAGAGAAGAATGAGAGACATAAAAGGCAAAGGTCATAGATTGAGATAAGAACAATTCACTTGGAACAGCAAAGAAATGAGAAAAAATCAGTAACAGTATTTATAACAAAAGCATACAAGGGAGGTGAGTGATTCACTTCCAAATGCTATATATGCTCCCTATGGTTTAGAATAACACCTGGATCTCAGCCATGCCCCATTCTAGCTACTGCAAAAATTAACTAATTCATAGTCAGAACCAGGACATTTTCAGGTGATAAAAACCTAATTTCATATCATAAAAATCCTGCATTTTAAAGTCATCATTCTTGTTTTGCTTTAGGCTATAGGCATGAATGGTGGTCTAAGTGGAAAATGTGTGAGCTGCTGCACTCTGTATGAGGAAGTCATTAAATTTATGGATAGGAAAAACATAATTCTAGTTTCCCATTGGTTTTGCATTTGTCTGACTGCAATCTTTTATTTCCCAGCCTCCATTAGGAATACATGTGAATAATTTGTGAATTGAGCCTGCTTTGTATGTACATTAGCTGAGCCTGAAGCCCTTGTCCTGTTGGCCATGTTAGATATGGCATAGAGATATTAGCTGATCCTGATAATAGGCCTGAAATTGTTCCATGATGCCTGTTGCACACAAAAGTTTAGAAAATGTCCAAAGTTACCCAGTGCCTCAGCAGTGAGGTAGGAATAGAGCTCAGCTTACCAGCTGTCTCAAGACCATGCCTCTAATATGAGTGATAGATTTTTATGCAATATTGAGATATAGTAGAACAGGGAAATTGTTTTAAAAAATGAAGCATGGCACTGCATCTCTCTTGTAGCCTATGTTAAATATAAAATGGAAATATTAATTGAAATAAGATGGATTTTGTCACTTTTACCTTCAAGAAGGCCAAGCTGGATCTCTTGGAAATTAATTTGAACATTAAAAGTATATATGTAAAGCACTGAACTTGCTTTCATCACCTTGTTTAAGCTCAGGTGCTTTGTCTCAGGTCTTCCAGCACTTTGGGTTGCATACATTCTCCTGTTTATCTCGGCAGGTTTCCTTGAGTCTCTTTGAAGCCTTTGGTAGCAAATTCTGTGGGGACTTAAAATTAATTTTTAGAATATGGCAAAATATCTGTTATTCAGAGCACAATATGTTGCTTGCACAAAAAAAACCCAAAAAAACCCCCAAAAAACAAAAAAATAAACAAACAACAAAAAAACTCCAAAACAAAACAAACCCAAAACACTCAAAAAATAACCCCAAAAAACCAAACCAACCTTGTTTAATTTCCTGCTGTTCCAGTAAATTCTAGTGCAGTTTGCTACGAAGATGATGAAATACCATTATCTTTCTAGCACCTTTTTACTTTATAATACTACTGAGCAACCAAGGAAAGTGAAGGAAGACCCAAGTACCTTTCTTTTTCATTTTTAAATTTAAAAAATCTTTGTGTTCATTTACATGGATTTCACATCATAGTTGTAGCACTTAGCTTTGACTATTTTCATCCACTTGGGAGGATTGATGATGATAGTGAAACCTGCTTAATTTTTTTTTTTTTTAGTTCAAAAATCAAGTGACAGGAGGGTTGTCCTATCTGATCATAAAGATTACTGATGCGTAGAAACTCAGAACTGATTTGAATATGATATAAAAATTAGCACAGTATCTCTAGACGTGAAAACGCTGCTCTAAACTTCGGACAAAGTTCTCTAATTTTTTGAAGTTGCCAGTATTTTTGTTGTTTTGATCTTTTGGAAAAATCTTCAGTATTTCACCTGTGTGTCTAAGTCAAAGTACTTCAAAAATCCCATAAGCCCTTTTAAGATGCTTGTGGAGCCAGTTTTTGGGGGCTTGCAATCTGTCATTAGAACTAGTAAGCGCAAACTCTGAGAAAGGTCTGAGAAAGGGGGAAGATGGTGCTGCAACTCCACATAAAGTTATGTCAACATGAGACAGGTTTATTCCCCTCAGAGCTCAGGAGGAGGAGCTGGGTGTGCTTTCAAACAGAATTCCTGGACCAGATGACTCTGGGTGATGACTTAGAGAAGCACAATAAACAGTCTGTGACAAAGGAGGAAGTTCCCACAAGATGAGCTACCACAACACACACAGATGGCAAAAAAAAAGGAGTGAATTCCAGGCCCACATGAAGGTGAAAAGGTTTAGAATTAGCATACTGGACAAGACTGCACCCTCCAGACTGCGGGAAAAGCACAGACAGCAACACCAAGAAGGTGCCAGGTCTGGTGGGACAGACCTGGGTAACCTGAACAGACACCTGGGCAAAGTGTGATAAAGGAAGCAGCTGCTTACACACATGCCATCCCAAGCTTTGGGAACAGCACATATGTCCCATGGATATCAGGGACCCCATCACCAAACAGACCAGGGTGAAGAAGTACCAGAGGGACATTGCAGCACTCCACATGCTGATGTCTTTGTTTCATCTCTCTCTTACTCTCTTCACCTCTCCCCCCTCCTATTTCTCATATTTACTGGTAAATAAAATCCATCATTTTGACTTTGGCATATGATCTTATTTGCATCCTAATTCAGGCAGAGACATCTCTTAAAAATTAGTTCCTAGTACTGGGAAACAAAATAAAAGGTGAAATGGAAGACTGCAGCTCTAGACCTCTTTAAAAAAAGGAAACAGTGCTACAATTTTTTTTCTCAAAAAGTAAAATCATGCAAAGAAAAATGTAGCATCATGGAGTACAGTAGTGGTCTGAAGTAATCTGAAATATTTTTGGGCAAATATCAGAATATGTCATGCATAAAAACTCTTTCAAAAGGTGAAATATATAAGTAAATAAGAATCTAATCCAGCAAGTCAGCCCCAAAGTCTTAAAAAGTTCCTGTGCTGAGACAACCCACCAATTAAAGGCTTTCCACTAATTATCCATTAAATCATTGCTTGTTATTTCCAGAGGTCCTGCACTATCTTTTAATCAACTCCTCTAAAAGTGGGTGGAGGTCCCAAAAGGTGTCAGCTTCCTTGCAACTGAATAACAGGCTAGCACCTTCATCAGCCCTTGATCACAAAAAAATGGACCCTTGGATGTGAACTGGCACTGTGACATTGCCTCAGACGTGCAGTGAAAACCAGACTCAGGATGTTCCACCCTGGAGCCCCAGTGACACCAGCCAGGATTTCTGTACAAATCACAAACAGGACGGGCCGGCTGTGGAACTGCCTTGGGCTGTTTCATTTTCCAGCATCAGCCACATTCCATGGTTATGACAATGGGAAGATGCCACCAGCTCACATCCCAGGCAGCAGACCAAGAAATTAATGTTACAACTTTGAAAGTTTTTTGATCAATCGCACAAAGCAAAAGCACATTGACAGTAGTTCCTTCCAACCACTATAAGCACAGGTACCTTTGGTTAAAACTATGCTTGCTTATTTCAAATACAATACCTGCTTGTAAGTCTTAAAAGACAATGCACAGAGCTCCATTATTAAGCTTCAAACTTCCTAATATATTGCTAGATAAACTTTTCTGTAGCTTAGAGAGTTATTCTAGACAAGCGTTAATACACAGACCATTGTTCTATTTGTCCTTGCTTTTCTACAGTTTAAATAATTTTTCTGCTGACCAATCTCATGGCTGCTGCTTAGCTCTAATCACAGTTCTGTTGTCCCTGGGGCCTGCCTTTTGCAGCTTTCCCAAAACTCTCTGATTTTGTGGATTCCCACACCCCAGGGCCAGTGGCTCCTCATGCCTGGTGGGGCAACCACCACGGCCACCAGTGCAGACACTGAGGAGTAACAGCCCAGCCAGTCTGGCTTCTGAATGATCACTGAACACTTCTGCTCACCCACACTGTGACTATCTTACGGTTAAAAGAAGGAGATTCCTCTCTGTTTCATCTTCCAGTTATTTCTTAAGGTGATTTCTATTAGCAACAATTTCATTCAACTGCGCTCTGCTGAAATTGCAGCGAGATGTTGTTATTTTAAGGGATTTAAGTTAATTTAAACACCACGCTCTTAGTGCTCCAGCTGGCTGCTCATACAGACCCATAACTAAGATTTGCACACTTTACAGCCTGTGGTCTGAGGGACTGGGGTATTTTGCTGATTTGCTGCACTTTTAAACAAAACATGGCAAATCTATAAGGAAACTTGTCCAGGATTAGACTTCCTGAGCTGATCTGAGCATGCTTGTACTGCCAGCTTCATGTCTTCATCTATCTCTAACTTGTTTCCTACTCTTCAGAATCAGAGACAATATGTCTAATATTTTCATCACCCCTGCCCTGAGTAATAAAAGACTTTTCTACTACTCTGCCCAAATTCTGATCATCCAGTCTCCAAGGTTAATGTGGAGCTGTAGATAGAGTAATACACTGCGTTCAAGTAAAGAAAACATTTACAGGAAAATCACCATATGGAGCCTATTTAGACAGATGATCTAATTATCATAATGCCCAACTAGCTGATGCAGGAAAGGTTTTACACAGGAGGTTTCTTTCTGGTGTTTGCCCTCCTGTCCATAGTAGAGGTGAAGTTGTTCTCTGAAACCCTGAGACTGATAAATTCTCACTGTACATGACAAAGTTTGTCATTTGTAAAAGAAATGTCCCTTAGTTATAAAAGAACTTTTAAATCCCAAGGGAAGTTTGATTAAATAACAAGAAATATAAGATTTTTTTTTGTAGACTGAAGAGGCAATTTTGTGAAAGAAGCTGTTTTAAGAGAGAAGAAAGTGAAATGATTTTAACATTACAAGTGACAACCAGATGTACATCAATATGCCTGAATTGTAACTAATCACTTTAAATCTGTACCTAAATTTTGTTCATACCTCTTTTCAAGCATTCTTATCCCTCTTTGTATTCCTATCAAGTTTGCTTATGACTTGGCCTTCCTACATGAACCACATAAAATGCATGACACAAAATAGACAGTTATATTTAGTATGAGGCTAGATTATACAGCTCTCTAGGAAATGCAATTCACAGTATTTGCAAATCATAGAATCATAGAATTTCCTGAGTTGGAACAGACCCACAAGGATCATCAAGTCCAGCTCTTAAGTGAATGGCATTTAGCACCATTCTTTAACCAATTCAAAAGGTTTTATTATCACAATTCACTGCATTATAAGAAACCTCGCTAGTGCAGCCATTCACACAACATTAATGTACAGAAAATTAATGTGTAAACATCCACAGTGCCCTTCACCTTGCAAGACCCAGTTCATTACACCCCGCAAAATCTGTGCACAAGGACCTTAGCCATCATTAAAGTGTAGAGACTCAGAGAGCTCCAAGACACAGTCTGACTAATAATAAGCTCTTTTCTCCCTGTTATACAGGAGACAGAGACCACCTACTCAACCATGTGTGCATACAGACCTTCTGCATAGAACAGAGCCCGGAGCTTTCTGGAGGGTTGTTCTCAACTCTAATTAAGTTTGGTAGGATCTCTAAAGGAAGTCCTTTAGAGATCCTACAAAACTTAGTGATTGCTGGACTACTAAAGCCCTTCATCTGGAATATGTTAACCATGACTGCAATAACATCAGCTGAAGAGAAGAAATATCAGTTCAACTCCATAACTACCTTAGGTTATTTACATTTGCCAATGACCAAATTCTAATTGATTCCAAGTTCAAGTTCTCAGCTAAGCATTTGTTTTTTGTCTTTTGGCTCCAAATTCTCAGCTTTTATTGTGGATCAGAGCCTTCAGCTAATTACAGTCATGCTGCTCTGAAGAATATATCGGGCTAAAGAATGTGGAAGATTTAAAGAGATAAAAAATAGCTTTTAATAGCAACCAACACAAATTCTATTGATCATCGTAAACTCTCATTTTTAAGAGTCCATCTTAGTCTTAGACATATATAATGTTATTAATTAATTATTAGCAATAATAAATTGAGTCTTATTCCAAAGAAGAATATCCTTGATTTCAGGAGTACTTCTGGATATCAGTCATATGTGGGAGAAAGATGTATCCTCAGGAGAGGAAGCTTTCAAGTCAGATAAAGATTCTGTAGAAGTAATTAAATGAATCATCAAGAATGCTCTCACCTC